GTTTCTTATACACAAAATTTTATAACAAACCAATTAATAAAACCAAATGTTATTTCCACAGAACATAGAGAGAGAATAGAAGTAGTAAGTGGGCGGGGCACGCGTCGCTGGCATATGCGCTTTTACTCATATGACGCCCTTTCCTCGGTTTTATGTTTGCCAGTCGTTCGTCAATCGTCGAGTGGTGATTTTACAGATTTTTTCTATAAAAAATGCCGTTTTGTGCTATTATCACTTGCAAAAAGCAAAGCAAAGTATTCAATCTAACTAATGCAACATTTCCTTTCACTGGTAAGTACAATTTTAGTGCTAAAATATAAAAAACGTAATAATTTGACACAATGTTAAATAAAATATACATTGATTGCTCAAACCAACATCAATGTTTCTGACCCCATTACTAAACAGCAATGTAAATCATTTTGTGCACTTTTGCTAAAAATAGTGCTGTGCCTCCATTTGTCTGAAACGTACCGATAGGCTGCTGCTGCTCGGAATCGTATTGTTAATTATATGGATCGTAATCGATAACTAAAACATATTTATTTAGAGCTTTTCTTTCATCATTTCATAACAACGTTATCGATAAATATATGCCATAATTATATAAAACTAAAAAATACTGTTTACAAGGGAAAAATATAGATGAACTGATACTGAACAAATGAAATAATGAACTGTCCAGGCACTTTTTTTACGAAGATTCGGTTAATTATTTACACGCAGATAAATATTAAAAATTACTGATGTGCTATAAATATCTAAGTTACGAAGTATATCACCGTTTTATGAACAATACATAAATTAAACGAAACTTCGTGAAAAGCTCAGAGTTGGCCTAATAGGTCTTGTTAGAAACTGGTGAAACTGGATTTCACTTATTTTGCATTACTTATATTTCAGTTTCCCTAATAACTTTACAACGGATTGCCTTGTTTACATAATTAATTTTGCCCTATCTGTTTTAGACCTAAACCTATCAAATGAATTTCAAAACAACATAATATCTATACAAACAAAAAATTATGTTTTCAACTAACGTAATATTGTTGGTGGTGTGAAATTAATTTACAAAATTAATTTTTAGGCGTCAATTTAATTTACCTTATTATGCTGATTCATAATCGGAAACTATTATTATAGAAATCGAGTTAAGAAAGCCACTTTAAAGAACCGCCCACAGAACAGCTTTTATCAGTTTTTTTGTTGCTCCATATTTGCACATAAGTTTATAGACGCATGTCTCAAACGGATGTGACTTTATATGTAGATTGACGTTTGTACGTACTTATCGCTTTTGTGTCTATCTTCAAACTTTTTTTGTCACGGCTTTCAAACTCATACTTGACCAGCAATTCCTTATTGTCCAGTCGTTGCAATTAATAATGTAGCTACTACTATTATTACAGATATAAAATTTAGAATAATAAAGTAAAACAAACATGGCTATGATCAATTTATTAGTGTAATGATCATATTAGTTATTATGAAATGAAATGAAAATATCTTTATTCAAGAAGGCTATTACAAGCACTTGGAATGGCAAGTTTATTTTTATTTCTACTTTTTTTTGTGTTATCTTGCGTACATAATATTTTCATTGATGTATTGAGAGGCAACAGTCAAAATATTTATTTCTTTAAATATTTCTCTGAGAGATTCTCTAGACCCTAAATTATATATAGCGTGGACAGCTCTCTTTTGTAGAATAAAAATATCTTGAATGCTAGCCGCAGAACCCCATAACAATAGATTATACGTCATTCATTACACTATGAAAATAACTAAAATATACCAATCTTGCCATTTCAACATTTGTTAAGAGTCTAATTTTCTTAACAGCAAATGCTGCAGAACTCAGTCTACTTGACAAATTATCAATATACCAAAATACCAAAGAACTTTGTCGATTCCAACATCTCAACTTTTTCACTATTTACATTTATAAGTATATTAACATGCCTCACATTAGGTAATGCAAACTTTATGTATTTCGTTTTATTTGAATAAAGCTTTAAATAATTACTATCAAACCACTGTAGAAAATTGTCGAACTGAATTACATTGAACTGTTTCATGACAAAATTTAAAGCTCTTATTTTATCAACTAATATGTCACATCACTAATATGCACAATCGGAATGATACCAGTAAGAAAAAAATACAAATTAGGCTTAATGTAATTAATACAAAAATTCTGTTGTTTTCTTAATTTTTGTTTTTTTTTACACTTTCCCTCGCTTAATTATATTACTCCACAGACATACGATAGAGTGTATCATTAAGTTTTCTTAGTTTTTGTACTGCGTTTTTTAAAAGATATTTTAATAAATTATGTAGGGAAAAGCCTTAATTTTTCAGTATTCACTTGGTTACAGCAAAATCTAATATTAATAGTTCGCACATAAAATGATGACCCCAATTTTTTTAAATGTGCATAATCTTAAAATATTTTTTTCCTTCTGGTATCCCCATATACAGCCACGTGACAGTTCAACATTCATGTTAAAGTAAATTATTTATTATCACGTTGAATTAGAGTTTGTTTTTAATCGTGTGATTTCTTAGCTTAGGATCTTTTTGGGATTTGATTTATGTTATCGCGAACCTATCGCGTGGCGGTTTTTCATGTAGTGAACAAAATTATCATTTCATCTAATCTGTATTTGTGTGCGGAGAGGCGACACTCGGTTCCCATACTAAATTAATATCATTATACTTCTAATCTCTCTCTATGTTCTGTGGTTATTTCTTACTATAAATTGAAGTAACTCACCTATATCGTTAAGCACTCTCGGCAAACCATTAAGCATTGCGAAGAAGTTTTCACAGAGATTGTCCATTATCCGATGCTTGTTGCGACACGATGCTGTGTTGAAGTATCCGTTCACAGCGTCAGTGCAGTACTCCGCCACGGCCGGGTACTCGTCCTTCGATAATGTTATCAAGATGTCTAACACTATTGGCTGGGACGGCTGCATAGTCCTTCAATAGAAACATTATAAAATCAAGAGTGCCATTATCATATTCAGCCCATTAACATCTGGAATAATGGCTTTCCCTATGTATAGAATCGCAGGTGTTTACATGTTTGGGGTCATTGAAGGAAAATAGATGTTAGGTAGATATGACATTAACAACTCACAGCGTGCACTCATTTAGGACTCTCGAACAAAATATGGCCAACTCTTTCCTCACTTTGAAGTGTTCGTGAGTTCTGAGCGAGATGAGACTCTTAGTGACGACAGTGAGTTTGTCGCTCGCCATCCTGTACCATTCAGCAGATCTCTTTTCTATATCTTTAAACTGTTTTTCTGTAACAAACGTAAATAATGTACTGTGATTTTTTTTTAAGAAATGTGCAAATTCTGACATGATATAAGCTGCTACTTAAATAATGGATTCCGAATTGAACAGAAACTCTTTTCACATACAGCAAAATTAAACATAGCTTCAAACACTAAGAGTAAACTATATTTAGAGGGTATCGCCCATACATTACTTTTTGAGACACGATAATTAAAACTATACTTTATTAAGTAACAAGGTACATTAACTACTCCAATTTTCTTTTAATGGTTTCCATGTTTCTCTCTACAAACGTTATAAATCGTCTTCGCTTTTCCTTTTATTCTTATCGTTGCAAACTTACTGGATACGACAGCTAGGGAATGCATCGAAATCCGTCGCCTAGTTTTAAAGATTAAAATTACACTGTTTGATCGGTGTACATTGATAAGTGTTGTGAGTTTTTTTATGGACGTCGTTCAAGTGTTTTGCCTGGGGCGCCAAGTTCCAGTGTTTTACCTAAGACTTCCATGTTTCATTGAGACGGCGATAACTGTGATGCATTACCCACTTATGTACATTAATAAAACCATTGGTAAACCGTTATCAGGTTATCACATATTGCTCACAAATACTTATAATGTTCGCTTCACAAAAATCAAACAATAACAGACAATACAATTAGTTAAATGCTCTAAAATTATCAATTACCCTTACAGCTTACTTCATTTTGCTCTTGTGAATAGAATTGCACAGTCTCTTTAAAATTCTTGGCGAAGTCTTCTGCTGTGATATCGTCCTTCTTGGTCAGAAACCTGTCGCTCATCGTTAAGCAAAGAATGCGGTGAATGGCTTCAAGGGACGCCTGAAACATACTAATATTTCAAATATTGACTTATCATAACAATGTAGAGCGCTGCAGTAATACAGCAAACTTTTCACGTACAAAGGATCAATTAAATGTGTCTAAGTGCGGAAAATTGGAACCCCCAAACCTAACCTAACCTAACAATGAAGAACTCAACGCCATATGGTTGCTCTATCGTAGAGGTTTAGCTTTAGAAAGACCTCTACTCAGCAGTTAGGGAATTAATATGTAGTAGTTGATTAATAAGTTTAAAGGGAGTAGTGCATTAAGGAATCAGAATGAATATATGTATAACTTGACTAGGCAGGCATCACAATTATTCAATTTGTTTTCAGAAATACTTATATTCATACATGCAAGAAAGAATAAAAACAATTAAATAAATTTGAATATAAATTAAAAAAAAACCATAAAAATCCAGCGATTTCATAAGAAGTTTCTTTAATAATACACTACGTTTGAATGCCATCTGAGTTAGAGAGGCGATCTCAATGGTGCCAATCACCCTAGCTGAATGCCGATAGATCGTACATGATGAATCGTAAAAGCAAATCGGCGTATTACTGTACTGTATCTACTTAACTTGTTGCCTGAGCACATGATTATTATTTATATTATATTTAATAATCATTTTTTATTTCATATCAGTGATTTCTTTAACCTTTACGATTCCGTTTACACAGTAAATATAAAACTTAGAATACGGTTTTCTTACACACTATTTAGATAAGGGTATAATTACTCCAGGACTAAATGAGCCCAGGCCAAATGTTTTTTATATTTTTATACAGTCTTTTAATTATTCAACTTTTAATTTACCTATTTTAATGCTCTTATAAAATAGCTAAAATATTATTTTATTAATGCATGGGACACCTGTACATACCACTCGGCATGCGTGGCCCGGGTTGTCGGTGGCGTTGGCGACGTCCTGTAGCGCGGCGAGCACCCCGGGCAGGATGCTCGCCAACATGTCTACAGTACACGTCTCCAGCGACCGCTCCAACACCATGTACTTATCGTCCATTAGCTTCGGATGTGTCATTGTATGCGCCATTACGCAATTTATTGCCTCTAGCCTGAGGGGTTAACGACATTGATTTAAGACTTGAAATTAAATAAATTCACAATATTCTCCATTCCAATAAGCTTCTCGCAAACACTTTAAAAGCTGGTAAAATTCTTGCACCCGTTTTTCTCATAAGCAAATAGACATCATCATACATGTTTTATATATTATATAGATAAAAAGAAATGAAAAAAGAATCAGAAGACAACTAAATAATAAAATACAATAAAAAAACTTATCATAAGCAATATTGACAATGCCTCATCTTAATAATTAATTAAAAGGAAGATGAGGTTGATATGCATAATTTGACATTGAGTAAACTAATTTTACCTCAAAGCTCTCATTTTTTCTAACTTGGCTATGTGTACAGAAACAAAAACAGCTTGTGCCACAAGTGGTACTTGAGTCTTAAAGAGTCTCTCCCTAAAGCTCTTGTCTATATTCAGCATAACGTCCGTGAGGCACTTCATCACACTATATTTAAGTTCTTCTGGTACATCAGCAACTAAAATGATAATTTAATTTGCTATAATTCCCGCAAATTGCTGATGCGCCTGACCGCCATTTTGATGACGTAATTGAGTTAAAAAATCAGTACCGTTAACAAATAAAGACTGGCTGACGAGTATACTTATTGAGTTGGGTTGTGTTGACATTACACATTTTTTTTTTGTAATTTTTTTGTTGGTTTCGTTTTTTATTTCCATATACCTCAATATTTCAATATAAATTGATAGTTTTCAAAAAATTAACAAACTAAAAGTTATGAAATATTTCAATAATAAATAAATACTTTAAAATTGTCTTGCCTTTTGTGCTATCCATACTTAATATTTTCATATGACGATACGCGGGTGTTATTTAGACAAGGGTCTTACGCATTAGCAATTTACAGGTCTTAAAACATTGTTTATTTAACACAGAAAAATGTGCATAGTACAGTTTTTTTTTTTTGTGAGAATATAACCCAGTTTGTCGTTCATTATACACATTGTTGCTAGGTTAAACCTTACTCTGTGCAAGTATAAATATATCAAAAATATTTATTTTAGGAAATATTACCACTTTTCTAAGCAAAGATAAAAAACTTTGTATGAAACTCAACAATGACCTCGCACTGCAAGGATTATTTAAAGATAATTATTATTTTCATTAATTTTGCATTATCTATTGTAAAATAATATTTATGATTATTGTACTTAATTTTCTCAGACACACATCAATGAAGACTAGATAAAAAACTAACACTAGATAATTGCTAAATTATATATTTATACTCCTGCCTCGTCCTCGAGATTAGTATATCTACCTGTTATATTTTATGTATATACACTATGTAGTAACACCCAAGTATTGCCACTTTCAGCACTATGTTTAGAAGATTATATCATTTCCGGTTAAATGTCAATATTAAAAGATATATAGCGAAAATATTGGTATTAAAAAATAGTTATGAGGTAAGCGATGCTCTTTTCCAGATTATAACCTGGTTTACTGTAAATAATCTCCAGCTAAATGCAAAAAATTGCTATTGAAGTCGGGCGTCTATCATTTAATTAATAAGCCACAGAAAACCTCCGCCCGATTTCAACAGCAGTTTCTTGAACAAGTCTCTTTTGAAATAAGTATATTATTTAAAATTTTAATCTTCATATAGGTTTTGTTTCCAAAATTATTATTAGCTATACTACAAGAAACACTTAGAAACACGCTGGCTAAATAAAAATAATGAAATGGTTAATCGAATAATTCGGCCGAATATCCGGTTCAGTAAAAGTTTAACCAAATAGTATTGGTATTCGGTGAAACCACTCTAATTCAAATCTTAAAACATTCATATAAAATTAAAATATTACAAATGTGTTTAAAACAATGAATATTTGCTTATAACTTAACAGTTAAAATAATACAAAAACACAATATACTTCCTTTTTGGGCAGTTGTGTAATATAATAATATAATCTTTTTGATTTTCACTAGGGATTAAGAAATGTTTACTTTCTTCTTTTGCATTAATAAGTAAATAGAGAGCGTTCGCCGGCCAATGCCACGGCAGCATGCTCACTCGGCTCGGTTTTTGTGTTCATCACAGTTCTAACCAAAGTATCGATACCTTCTTAGGTACCAGTCGTCCTCCACAAACTAAGTTTTGTCACAAATATTTCAAACCTAAACTGAACGAGTTTAATAATTATGCCTTATATAATAGAATATAATAGAATAATATAATGGTAGAAGTTTTTATTTTTGTAAGGTGTAATAAAACATTTCTAAGTTTAACAAATAACGGTTATATTAATTAATCAACATATTAAAAGGTTTATATCAACTTTCCATAATATTAATTTGAAGTTATAAAATATAATAATTTCACGGATTCCAGGAAAACTAGTAAAATTACATAAACAAAATTAAAAATCATGTCAAACTCGAGGTATTAAAATATAATGTAAAAAAAGATTGTTACAAATTCATGCAGCATACTCAAAGGTCGATAGGTCGATGTTTTATTATGGATGGTTAAGGAGGATGGGCCATGACCCTCCACGCTGGTCCAATGCGAATTGGAGGGTATTAAACACTGCAAATGCAGCCGGGACCAACGGCTTAACGTGCCATCCGAAGCACGAAGTAGCTCGAGACAATAATTTTTTGGTCACCGATCCGTGACCGATCCTTGCGAAAGTTGCTTAACGACAACGATCGCGGGCCGCGGCGCTTATCCTCTACGCCACCGAGCTACTTATTTATTAACCAATATTCAGAATGGCAGCTTCCCAGATCAATTAAAACTTTCTGTTGTAAAGCCGATTCATAAAAATAAACAGTATTAGCAGTAATTTCAAAACTATTTGACGATGTTCAAAACGGATTCCAAAAGAATCTGTCGACGACATTGCCCACTTTCAAGTACATTAAGGAGGTTCTAAGCATTTTAAATAATAAAAAATATGCTATAGGTATTTTAATTGATATGATTAAAGCTTATGAAATAGTTTCATTAGATATCCTATTAAACATGTTATACGGAATGGGAGTACGCAGAGTATTTCACGAGTGGTTTAGATCCCTACTCGATCATCGGAAGCAATATGTCGAAATTGAAAATAATAACAATGGTGGAGGGGTCCATTCCTCAGGGAAGTATCCTTGGATGTGTTGACTGTTCATCATCTTCATCAACGACCTTCCGAAAATCTTAAGAGACGTGCGTTATGTTTGCTGACGATTTTTTATTGCTACTATATTGTAATAATGACACATACCTTAATGATAAAATACTAACCATCTTGGCAAAAATTTTAGAATGGATGAAAGACCAACTGGTATGTAATAAGTCTTTTCCAATTTCATCACATAATATAACAGTCTTTATACTTTTTTTATGATTAAAAGAGTTATTTTCATTTGTGCTTTGTATAGAATTTACAGAATTAGAGTTTAAGGGCTCACATACTGATTGTTTATGTTGCTTCTCCCTGGAATGATATTGAAATGAAAATATATAAAAGATTGCCACAACAAATGACACGCACCCATTAAAACCGCTAAGAAGGACCCTAGATTGATTATAATTTGGTTATAGTACAATAACTATTAAATGAATAATAATATAAGTTACATATACTTCCGTTAACATTAGTAAGCGTTAATATATATTAAGAGCAACAAACTATTAAATGCTTAAATAGTTAAATTTATTTTGATAAATTTTTCCTCTCTGCCAACATCTATATAGTGTATATTCATAAAATATAATAGCTAAATATACTAAGCTCAAGGATCGATCATAATTATATGAAGTACCTCATCCAAAGAGATTAGTATATGCAATTCCTCTCAGCCAACACACTATTTGCTTAAAATAGTTTCTCCTTAACTAAGGAAATATTTATTTTATCTTAATGAGGGTAATGGTGTGCTGAGGGGTGGAGGTAGGGTTGACAGATGCCGGGATTTCCGGCATTGTCTAGGAATGAAAAAAATACTAGTTTTTTTTCACAAATTTACGATAGTAGACGTATTACTACGGCGTGAGTTGAGCGACGGGAGAAAGTTCAATTACATTTGTTGATTAAACTGTATAAGGAAGTAATTCGGTGGAAAAAGAGGGTATTTATAAAGAGGTATTTTCCGCTAACTGTATTGGGAGGAATATGGCAATAAAATAAATGGCCAGAAGCTAACACACCTAAGATTTGCTGATGACCTCATTATATTTTTATTCCTACAAAAAATGGTAGAAGAGCTTAATGAGCAATGCAGAAAAGAGGGGCTAGCCATGAATATGTCCAAAACCAAGGTCATGACAAATACAATTAAACTTCCAATTTTGGTGATTAAAAACAAAATAGAATATGTAGACAAATATAAGCCCTTGGGACAAATTATCTCACCACTTCACATGACAGATAAAGAAATCGAAACAAGAATAAGTGAAGCCTTTAAGAGCTAATGGTCACTAAAGGAAATCATGAAAAATAAAACATTCCCTGCTAGCTTAACGGAAATACTCTTCAATACTTGCATACTTGCCATTATTACTTATGGATGCGAAACATGGTTACTTACAATGAAAAATATGGACTTGCCAAAGAGCGATGGAAAGAAGCATGTTAGTTATTCGAAAATGCAAATATTAAAGCATTCCAAAATCAGAGCAAAGATCAAAATGATAGATATCACTGAAAAGGTAATTAAAGGAAAGATGTGCAGGTAATGTTATAAGAGGCGCAGAAAAGTGGAGTAAAATAATACTTAATTGGATACCCAGAGATAGGAAAAGGAGGAGGGAGGCTGTGGAGACAATGAGAGGAACTAGCAAAAACTGCAGGAGTGACATGGACTAGGTTGACATCAAATAAAAAAAAAATGGGAAAGCTTAGGGGAGGCCTATGCCAAAAGGCAAACAGGGTTAACCAACAAAACAAATGATTAAATATTGACATATAAAATATAACACTGACACTATTAAATAATTCATTTCAATATTGACGTAGGTATATAAGCATACATTAAATAATATTACTAAACAAGATATTTGTGTAATTTAAGAATGAAATATATGAATTATAAGTATATTTGACATGTAAATTTAATGGTATTCTGAATAAAGGCTTATTATTATTATTATTATAAGGAAGAAATTAAAAAGATTTTTCCCCAAAAAAGGTTTTTTTTTTGCATCAACCCATAGTTCTAGGTTATTCCTACTTAGTTTAGTCTCGGAACATAGACCAAAACTCTGATTCCGTTCGAAGCCCCAGATATGTCCAGGAAATGCTCAGCCTGGATCTGGCAACCCTAGGTGGAGGTGAGTTTTGGCTGTAAACCTTCAACTTAATTTTTTTTTTTACTAGAAGGTACAGAATCTTCTAAGCACGGTGCTGAAAGTGGCAAAACATAGTGTATATTCATAAAAAATATAATAGGAAAGTATACTTATCTCGGGTATGAGGCACAAATATAATTATAATTGAACTTCTCTTAGGCAAGTTATGTACTAGTTATTAAGTTTGAATAATAAATGAATTAAAATCACTCACTCATGCCAGGCTTAGAGTTGTCAAACACCAATTGTAGCAGCACTGTTTCAATATTTATACACATTTCATAATTATTTACTGTCACCTTCTTCAGCACAGTTCTCATTCCATCCACCAATTTACTTTGCAGTTCATATTTCTTTCTGGAACATAAAGATTATCAATATATCCCAATTGAATAAAGTAACAATATTAAAACTATCCAGCAAAAAATCTTATTTAGAGGAATTTCATTAAACTTTAGAGTACCTTTTTAGATTTGGTTATGTTTACCTACTCAATGAGATCCCTTAAATAAATAATTAAATAAATTAATAATGATGATAAATAGGCAATACTCACTCCATCTCTGTGGACTTAATGTGGGTAATAAACGGGAATAGAAGATACTGCTGGAGCGCCTGGACAACTTCTTTCTTCAAAGCAGACACACGAGCAACGAAGTTTGATATGCTTTCTTGAGTTGGGCCAGCCATCACTACATCACAGATTGGTTTTATTCGCAAAAAATCATTTTTCACTTCAGCATTCATTTTGAATCCGATTTTCTTTAAGTTTTGTTATTTTTAACAAAAAAAATTATAACTTCAGTGCAAACAAAAACACTCAAATTTTTTTTTTTCACTCACTGTATCTGTCAATGTGACTTCTTCTTCTTCTTTTTTAATTCATGGCGTATTTGCATTTACCCAATTCCGCCAATGTCATGTTTGTGGTCTTTACATGAAAAAAAAAACAATAATAAAATATGTAAAGAACAATGGCCATCTGCCTAACATGCTTGGACTAGTAAAATCGAATAAAACGTAACTTGATGAAACATATGTTATTTTGTCTGCCTATGCAACTAGAACAAAGAAAGACATTAAATATATTTTTAAAAGCTGGGAGTTTCGAGTAATTGTGTAATATGTTTTTGAGGTTATGTCGTATTATTTAAACTGTAGCATTTTGAGTTAAAGGTATTACAGTTGAAATATGTAAAGCACACGTCAGATAATGCCTAATCGTAGTCCTAAAAGTGCATACTTTCACATAATACTTCAAAATTTGCTCCATATCTGATATATTATTTTTATTGACTATAAGAAATAAAATCATTTTTTGTGAATCAATGAACATCAAAAAACATAATAGAATTTTTAAGATTGCTCTCAATAACTCTACTTTTCTATCTTACACTATTACTTATAAAAAGTAGTAGTGAAAATACTAATTTCAAAAGGATATAGCAAAACAACATGTTGATTATTCTTTTCTTTATTACAACTCTAATGAATACCTCATCACGGAATGCTGCAGGAGCAGCTACATTCTGTTCGTGTCTGGCCCATCCAAGATACCAAACTATAGTCATCATATGAGCACAGCATCTCAGTGTACATCGACCAATAAGACAATTACAGCAGTGTTCTCTTATGCCATCTAACCCGGATGTGTCATTATTTTTTTAAATGAACACATAATATTGTTTCCTCCCTATGTCTCGACTTAATTCTACCCCTTATAATTAGGACTTTATTTATATTTAAGTCTAATTCTAATAAATTCAGAGAATCCGGTATTTCTCTCCAGACCTCAATTCTCTACTGCCCATGGAACCTAGAACCATAGAACCCCAACCTATATTATTCCTCTATGGAACCTAGTATGCTCCCCATGATACAGAAAATTAATACAAAATCACCGCCAAAGTTACAAAACAGTCTGCGTAGAAACACCTCTACACATACTTGTCTAAAAAGGGAGGTCGCAATCGATTGAATACTGTAATATCAATTCTTATGAATAATCATTTGTTTTTAATTTCATTATAAATAAACTATTTTCCTCTGAGTAACATTTAATTATATTAGTAATCTATATTAGTTCTTTGAAAAGAGAGTGTTCACGCTCTAAATAAAAAAAGATATAATAAATAGATAAATAAATGTATTTAAAATAAAACAATAAATATACGAGTAGTTAAAACATTAAACATAATTTAAAGTAAAAAGTATATGTTATATAATTACATATTATTATAAGTTACAATTTGGAATAATAGATGGCGCTTACCAATTTTCAATCGCGGTATGATTTAATTTTCACACAATTCATAGATACGATTGTTATTCAAAATAAAAGGCTTTTTGCCCGTGTACGTAAATAAATACTATAGCTAAACTTAAGTCTCTTATTGAACCCTCACTCTAGATCTCGACTTTGTTCAGAGAGGGACTTCTCTAAAAATGACATTATTAATAAGATGCGTTCAAAAATAACATAATTTAAACTGAAGTTCTAAAAAATAAAGACATTTTAGAGAGGATTATCTTTCTTTTCCCAGCTTTTAAAAATAAATTTGTTGGTATATAATAATTACATTCAACTTATATTACATTTTGGTGATAGTTCCATCTTGGTACAAGAATTTTTTTTTCGTAGTCCATTTTGACCATTGTTCTTTTGAATTTAACTAAAATAAAAAAAGCTCTGAGCGCGTCTATCTGATTATATTGTTAAAGATAATACAAATAGAATGTATATAGAAAACAAAGATATTTATAAATTAAGACTATTATTGATTGCAAGATAGATAAAATTTTGAATGGGCTGGGTTTCTCCATACTAGATACATACACACACACAAGATACATTTTATATTTGTTGGACGTGGAACTTTTGATGGTAGAAAATCATAAAGCAAAATGGATAAATTGGACAATTAAATAAAATATGATCCGTAGTTCCTTCCTCAATGCTACAATCGCAGAGGTGGTTGTATTTAATTTTAAATTTGGCAAGTCGAACTGGGGAACACACATGTTCAATTCTCAGGCGACAAATAATTGAAATAGTTTTTTTACTTAAAGGTTCTCCGTAAAGAACCAGGAGGTACTGGGGATAGTTCTCTGAATGTCAAAATAATACTTACCCACTCTATTTCTAGTATTTTCCCAATCAACATTCCATGACCTCATTAAATGTTTATGTGCTAGCACAAAGAGAGAGTTTAGAATATTTTAAAGAGCCAGTTATCGTCTCGTTCCCAGGAATACCACAGTGTCCCGGTATCCATGTGAGGGTAATGAGTAGCTTCTTAAGATGGCACCTATACAATGCTTGTCTTATTTTAAATATTATTGGAAATTTATTAGAACGAAACGGATTTGATATTATAGACTGTAAGCAACTCTGTGAATCTGCGAAGATGATAGTTTTGTTAAAGTTATGAAATTCTGCAAATAGGATGGCCTCTAGGAGAGCTAAAGCTTCTCCTGTAAATACAGAAGAGAGAGAGGGAATTTTGAAACTTGATACTAATCTGTGAGCGGGAATCCATACTGCTGGTTCAACTGGATCATTAACATGCTGTTTGGATGTACATGGAAATCCAGCCTTCATATTCCGATGCTAATTTCCGTGCCTTTGTACGCATGGCATATGGAGAGTCTTTGTCGATTCCAAAATCAAGAAGAACGACCGGCTCAAGAATAAGTGATTCAAAGCTATTTTCAAAAAGAGGAAGACGAGAATACCGTTTTATGGGAAGAGGAGGAGTATGGAATTTTTTGTAGCTATGGAGAATACAAGAGACACCTACCGATGAACTGGAGGAAGTACTAGAAACTTTCAACAATATTTCTAATATTTTGGTAAAGGATGGGATGCACGTTGTATAACTTTAAGGAAAAATCGATCACTCAAAAATTGCCTTCGCAGATACAAAGGGGGCTCAACACATTCGATCTGGAGACTATTGATAGGAGACGATTTCATGGCACCCATAATAATCCGCAAGCATTTTGATTGAACTTTAGTAATTTTATCAAATAACAACTTATTACATGGGTTTAAAAGAAAGGAACCATAATCGAAGTGACAGCGGTCTAGGATATTATATATTCATTTTTGAGTGAATGTCATCCATTAGAGCGAGTTTATCAGCAAATGAGATAACCCATCCTGATGGATCAGTAGCTGACATAGAGTTGGAGTTTCTCCTTTTAGGTCTACCATTGTACAAAACACATAAGTCCAGCTCATCTAATAAATCAATAATTAAACTGCCAAAGGTATCGGAGTGATAGGAGCTCCATGACTCATGATGAGCATTAAAATCACCCAAAATAAGCATAGGCAGTGGTAAAGCAGAAATAATTACCCAGAGTTCCAATAAAACAGATACATTAGGGCGACGGATATATCTGTCATCGCGCAGACATAGATATCCAGGAATATTGAAAGAAATATTCCTAGGAAGCCACGTCTCCGAAATACCAAAAATAAGAGGAGAGTATTTATATATAAAATATTGGATTTCATGCTTTTTAGAACGAAGACTATTGCTGTTCCACTAGATTATATTCAGAGGAGCCATTTTTGGCTAATTTAAAAGAGGTAAAATTTTCGGAGCTACGTTGGGGCGGTAACCATTACCGCTCCGAAAATTTTACGTCACTGAATTTTGACAAAATATTAGCAACAAGCAACCACAGAAGATCAAGACAATCATCATTCGGAACTATATCATTAGTATTCGAATTACCATGGGCACAACCATTAGGAAGAGTAGGAGGACAATTCCTAATTATGTCCTGGTGAGCGTGAGCCTGCTTGTCATATTCCTTCCCCAGGGCAGAATGTTGACGAGGAGAGAGGAAAATAGTCTTTTTATAAGAACGAGAAGTCAGACGTGTGGGTTGAGAATGCACAATTTGAGGTACAGTAAAAGAAGGTGTAGTTGAAGAATTTACTGACTCAGAGTACAACCTTCTTACATCTTATATATATATATATATAAATGACGGTGGAATGGAAAAAGTTACCAAGCGACATTAGGGGTCAAAATGAGTTTTTTATATATTCGGAATCAGCGAATTTTTCTCTATCGATTAGTCTTAGCAAAAGACGCATAGCGTAGTTATAAGATGCCTAGCATTTTCGTTTAGAATTTCTAGCTCAATCTACTTAAAAGATATATCAAATGCTGTGAAACAATGCCAAATAGGTAATTTTTATATTTGACTGATTCTAAAGCATAAGTTGATTATAAAATAAACGAATCTATAAAACACATAAACTCTGTCTTTTTATTTACAAAGGCATATTTCATTAATCCAAGGGGGATTAATCAAATTAAAGAATTTGCTTACTAAATATAAAAACTTTGAGCTCTAGGTTTGAGCTCTAAATTTATTTGGTGACGGAAATTAATACATTAACACTTACATAATTAGATTTGTTGAATAGGAAACGTTGCTTCTTATAATAATACAATTTTAAGAAAGCTAAACCACTTTGCTTGTTCAATTCAAAAATAATTCCCTGTTTATCCTTTTTTGTTTCAAACCTTTAGAAAATAAATGATAATTAGGACATCTTTGCCAGCTTGAAAGATAAAATATTTTTGTAGGTTAGTAACCTTTACCTGCTTCTTATTTCAGGTAAATTGTAACCAAATGCCTATTCCTTGCGAAATATACAGAAATATTTCTTTGTAATAAAGCCAATTTGAAATAATTTAAAAATCTGTTGGATTTTTAAAAATACCTTTATTAGTTAATTTTCTACGATTTTTTAAAGAAAAAATAAATCTTTAGACGGCTCTGTTGTAAAATTTGCAATATGGCGCTTGGTAATTCTTTACATTCCACCAAAAATTGTGTCAAGATGTATATTGCCAATAAACTCCAAAACTACTGAACCGATTTCAATCAAATTTCACATGTACCCGTATTTTGGTCTAACTTACTGGATAGGATAGTTATCATCATGTTATCAATTATTCGCTTATGTCGTGAATGTAAACGAATAAAATGTACTAATTAATCGTTTGCGTGTTTATTTACTATTTAGTTTTATGAAGTTCTCATAGATGGCGGTGTACGGTGATTCATAGATAGAATTCTTCAATATCGTTTGACATCTAGGTTGCAAATACACCCAATAGATGGCGCTGTGCTCTAGATGGCGTTTATTCTAAATTAATCTGCGGTAACACCCAATAGATGGCGTTGTGTTCTAGATGGCGTTTATTCTAAAGTAGTCTGTGGTAACGTTTCTTTCAAAGAATTTTGCGTAGATTACGTTTTCGTTTAAGTTTTGTGTAAACTTCAGAACTGTTTTTTTTCATCTTTATTTCAAATTGAATTGAATTGGATTAATATCTCTACAGTTTAAAGATAAGTGCTGAAACATATTGTACATTCGTTGGTATTTTGTTGTACTATCTTCGAACTTAAACATCAAGGTAATTTCATCATCAGCTCAAAAAACAACAGCGTTTTTGGAAAATATGATGCTCAAAGTAACTATATCACGCAGACGAAGTCGCGGGCAAAAGCTAGTTTTCTATATTTTTTGCCCTCTTTTATAATATAACACTCTTGTCTGTCGGTTCTGGCCGAAGTTTCTATGGAAGCTTGGCATTGTCCAAAAGTTCGTTGAGTTTTGAAAACTAATTTACTTTTAAACATGAAAGAAAACCGGAAGGGTTGTCATGGAGATAAGAACGTACCGTAGCGACATCTGGTTTGATTTCGGGAACTAATGTTCTTTTTTTAAATATTTCCTCATTGGTCGGCTGATTATATTATTTGGCTGCGACAGATATATTTAACTTCTGTTATTTTTTAAACTAGCTCGGCACATGGACTTGATGACCAAATTCAACACAACTGTTCTTAGGATTAATAGCGTACAGTTTGACTTCGAAGAAAAAGGTCCATATTTGGGAAAGCATCTTGTATATAGGTTTTTTCATATATCATTGCATCCCTAGTTGTTAAAATGTAAGGATTTGTTGAATTTGGTTCGGACCGACTAATATTTTGCTAATTTTCAACAATTCGGAACAAAAATCAGCAATTTAAAAAAGGAACTGTCAGACTGACAGTCGGTCGTTGTCAAAGTCAGATGTTTGGGTGCTGTCAAGTAATTTAGAAAAGGGATATGAAAGAAATAATTTAATTAGATCAGAAAATATGTATTCATATTTATCTTGAGTCACTAAAAATATCTCGAAATGCTCTCCTTGGTAAGACAAGGGGTTTTAAATAAATACCTTAAAATTTTGAGGTTAAGTATTGCAGATTACAGTAACTTGCCCGATATAAAGAAATTAAATGTAGTCAGGACAGTTGAGAAAACCATTGATAACAATACTAGCATATTCATAGAGAGTCCTATACATGTGAAAGTGCAGCCCATCGATGTAAACGATTTAAAAGCTCATAACAAATTGACTATGACGCTTTATAGTCAAGGAAAAGCTACAAGTGATTTCCAAGTAAAACAAACTTCAAAACGTCTGGAACTTCTAAACAAGAATGCCAGTTCTGATTATAACGACGTGTGTTTGATACATGTGCCGTATCATCTTAACGTTCAAGTGACGACTACTGAAAACGCATCAGTCCACTTGTCTAAATTAGAAGGTGAAGATTTCATAGTGAAAACAGAAAAAGGTGGTGTTAACGTTGCCGATTTGAAGGCTCAGAATATCAAAGTTGAAAGTTTAGGGGGACAAGTTAAAACTGATGGCAGATTGCAGGCTTCAAATATTGAATTAAAAACTGGTTTGAGTTCTGGTATCAATTGTAACAACATTATGTCGAATTCGTTTGTTGTGACGACACATGCGGGCCCAATATCAGTTAAATCTTGTTACAGTGATAAATCACATTTCACAACACTCATGGGTAACATCAGACTTGACCATCTCCATAGATCTGTACTGATTGATGTTATAAAACAAGGCAACTTGTACATTACAGGTTTCTCTGGGAACCTGCAGGCGTCACTCAAAAGTGGTGAGGTGTTCATGCATGCGTCCCAGTTGTTAGATAAAAGTAGTATTTTCATTCATGAAAAGGGTAAAGTTGAATTATTAATACCTGATATATTGAAAAACTTGCCTGCAACAAATTTGATAGCAGAGAAGATAAAAGTGGATGAGAAAATATTAAAATTGGGACGATTCATGGATGACAGTCATCCTAAACGATTCAGGTTTGAAGGAGAGCCAAATAATGAATTACACATAGTGTGTAAAAATGGTTCCATTGAACTGAGAGAAACTAATATGCCATTTGAAATTTAGATGATTCAGTTCTGGCAATTGAATTTATGTTGTCCACTAAGTAACAGTGGCACAATATAGTATATGGAGGGACTAAATGAGATATTTTGTTTTAATTATGAAGATTACTTCATTTATTTTGTGAAATAATTCTGTAAGAAACTTATTGTGTCTTGCTCATGTTTGTTATTTATAGCATTACATTGTAGTCGTCAAAACTTCAGTGTTTCTTGATATAAAGTGTCCATTTATAGAAATATTTAATTGTTAATAAGTAGTATATGGTATATGATGCATTTGTGTCTGATGTATTAATCCTTATAAAAATATGCAAGGATTTAGATAATTTGTTTTCAAACTGTAATGTTTATGATTATCATCTTGTTTGGTCTTCCATGTATGATAATTGTTAATTAATCAACAAGTTACTATTTATGTTTCATGTGATCTAAACTGATAAAAATTAAATAATTAGTACTTATTGAAATTTCTTAAATTGATGGATCTTCATGAAAAATTTTTGTTTTAATGCATTTAAGCTAGTAAAGTTGGTCAATTAGATAGTTTCCATTATATGTATTGTAAATACATTAGTTGTAATAGTATTATCTTTGTTTCAAATATTAATTTTATTATTTACAATACTGTAGTTGACTGCTTATGTGATATTATTATGTTTCAATATTGCTAGTCTTGTAATTTATACAGAAATACTAGTGTTTAGTTTTATCCTAATTATGTTACCACCAAATGTATAAACGAATGACACAGTTGATATATTTATTATTAAAATAATACTATCATACCACAATTGTATTTTAATATTGTTTAATCCTACTTTTGATTTTATTGATAAAATATTATTAAACTGACATTATGCTATCTTTCGATGTTTAGTATAGGTAATTAAAAACTAATAAAGTAAAATAGCTAATTGGCTTGGAGTGTTTCTTGAACTGTTTACCTGCAGTATAATTAGCTAAACATCATCATTTATTTTTTATATATCATAGGTAATTGTTAATTGGGAGCAAAGATGAATGGTTAGTAGGTGTAGCAGCGCCGGCGTCGCGGAGATAACGAGGTACTTTATATGCGGCTGGTGCGAGCGCGCGCGTCAGTCCACGTTTGTCACTTCGTCCGCCGCCATGCCGGCTTGTGCGATAGAGTACACCCGCCTCGCGCGTTCAAATTCTGAACTAGTGTTTTCGCCGCGGGTTAAGCGATGTTCTCACCAGCCGCAGCCCTTTACTGCCCTACGACGCTCATTCTCTTCGACCTTCTCATTAATACCAGAAGAACGCGCCGTCTCACCGGAGAGACCGCCACCGCTCCCACGTATCATACGTATCCTCACGTGGGGACCCAGACTGTGTCTCCGACCGCTGTTGGCGCTGCTCAGCTTCATATTGCATCCGGCGTGGAAACAGATTTTAGTGGTGCTACCGACGCTGTGGATTGCCGCTTCTCTGTTTATATTTTGGAAGTGTATCCAGTGTCCACTTGGAATACTAAAAATGGTCGGTTCCGCTCTCAGCTCGAAGAATCCCAATAAACCTCGCACTGTTCTCATCAGTGGAGGAAGTTCAGTGCAAGCATTGCATTTAGCTAGAAACTTTCACTCTGCCGGGGCCAGGGTGGTCGCTTTTGAGGTAGAAGGACATTTCGCATTATTGAAGTACTCTGCAGCAGTCAATAGATTTTATACGGTGCCGAGACCGAACCCTGCCGATCCTCTCGCGTACGCGAGGGCGTTAAAAGAGATCGTCGATAGAGAGTCTGTGGTGTTTTACGTACCTGTTAGTTCTACGACGCCGGCTTATTATGACGCACTGGCGAAGCCGCACCTAGAGGTCATCGGTTGCCAGTGCTTCGTGCCATGCGCTCGCGACGTGGTCACTCTAGATGATCCTTTAGAGTTGATACGCGTTTGTCGTGCTGCTGGACTGGCAACTCCACAGTTCCAAGTGGTAACTAGTGAAGATGATGTTCGATTATGGTACGAAAGCGGTGCGGCGAAAGAAGGTCGATATTGTATTGCAAGTGCTGGAGCTCGAGGTGCAAGAGATCGGGTGCGGTTTGTGATGCCTGATGATAAGAGTGTTTTCAGATTTCCAAGAGAAATAAGTGCTGAAAAACCCTGGGTTATAGTCAAAGAACCAAAAGGAGAAAAGATAGTGACTTGTACTACATTGAAGGAGTCACGTGCAGTCAACAATGTGAGTTGTCGGGTGGACACCGTACGGAAAGGTTTAGTACCACAAAAAGACGAAGAAGCCGATGCCTGGGTACAACGATTCGTCTCTCACCTAGTACCGGCCAGACCCATGACCGGCCATGTATCTTTCAGGCTCGTTCGAGAGGAATGCACTACGAATGGTCATGGCAACAGATTGGTAGCGATCGGAGCTCGCGTTGGAGTTTCTTTACCATACTTATGCCAAAGTCCAACGCGCTGTGGCCATACTGCGGCAGTGGGAAAACTATTGGACACCGTTTTGGATACACGAGAGGCGTTATTTGCTTTTTGGGATCCTCTACCTTATTGCGCTTACTACCAGTCGCGTTTACCGGATGAGAGGCGAGCGCTGCCGCCGGAACCGTGCAAAACGCCACCTAACGTGCCTCTTTGAAGAGTGTATGATGTTCAAGTTAAGGTTTATTTATTAAGACACTCAAGTACCTGAATCGTGCAAGAGTGGGAGCCCAGCTCCATAAGTGCCATATGTTCATGTCGCGCTCTGCGTTCGTCGGTTGTTCTCTTACCTATAAGAATGACAGTTAGACATTTGCGGTCGGAGTACGATACGACTTTGTTTGTAACTACTAAGTAGATTATTTTAAGTACCTACATAAATATTTTTGTAGATTTTAACGAATGTTTACTTGATATAAAATATTAAAGTAATAAAAAATGTGGTCATTGTAAATCGTAATTTTATTTTTAGCTTATATTTATCGGTGATCAAGTCTCTGTTAGCGGTATAGGATGTCCAATAAGTATATTTATCATTTTGTACTTTGCAATCGCTAGAATAAATTATAAATGTCAAGAGATCAAAATAATAGCCTCATTATTTATAGTTCCGCGATTTTAAAACATACTCTTGTCGCAAACAACTCGAGTACATATTGGATATTTAGCTTAGCAAAATGTATTTCTTCTCAACGACGGTAGAACCGACGGATGTACATAACATTAATTTTGTTAACGTTATGTACATCCATATTAACATTAACATAAAAAGTTTAAAAAATTGACTTTATTTATCAATAGTGCAGTAACGGCAGTGGTTAGCGCGCTTAGTCTGCGATTGTGGAATAAATGTGTTCAACGCATTTTTTTTTTACATTTAACTACAGATACTTTGTATTTCGGAAGGAATAAATATATAAAATATAGACAGTAAACGTGAAACTATGATAAAATCCAGCAACTTTCACATATATAGAATGGACTTCCGCAAAATAACGCCTGACAAATATTAGTTAATATCACATTTTTTAAGTACTTATTCTATTGAAATTTGGCATAGGGAAGGTACCAGAACATCAAGAATCAGACCTGAGTCGATTTAATAAAAAAAGTTTTCTACATTGGCCCAACCGGGAACCGAACTCTGTCAAGGAGATGACATTTTATTTTATTTATTAACAAAATCCACAGTTGTTAATAAATTATATACACTTTTTAAAACTTTACTTACAAACAGACCATTATGAATTTACAGTTTTTTTACAGTATAAAACTAGTCACAAAGTATAATCAAAAAATTTTACTAAATAAATGCCTTAGGGCACAGATAGATAATGTTTAAAAAATGAAGTAGTTTAATTCACTCGCATAAAATCCATAAAACTTCTCGCCTGAAGCCTAACTCTCTAGCCATGATTCTAGGATATATTTACGACATGTTATCGATGTTTTGGCGATATTTCGTATCATTTTACTTTAGCAATAATTAACGAACGATGAAGAATTATGATAATGGAATTGATAGCAGTGTTACCGACTTACCCATTTATACCAAATTTATTTGGTGGACCAAACGACATTTCAAAGTTGTAACATGAAACGAAATATTGTTTTAACATCGCATAGATGAATTTATATTTTCGCATTACAGATCTGTTGACATGGAAAAGATCAATATCATAAAAACCTATAATACCTAATTACATTCTAATTAGGTATTATAGGTTTTTTGCACACCGACTATCAAAATACACCAGGTAATACAGAGTGGACTCGTGTGATGGTGGTGTGTGTAAAGAACGAAACATTCCAGAACTTTGAAATAAATTAAGATTGTTACCTATATATTTAATGAATTTTACTTATTTAATACATAACATACATAGTAATTGAGATATATCCTCTTTTTACAAGTTCTTATTTAACTTAACTTATCGGTGGAAATCAGTAAGCTACCCACCTAGCTACCTACTTCCCGCTTCCCAGATGAATAAGCATTCGATGAAAAAGTTTCGAAAATTGGGTTAATTGTATTTTTAGCGCCAGCTAACCTGTAATTTTTTTAAAGAGATATAAAATAATTTAATGCTTTGGTTTAGTAGGTAATCAACAAATAATGTGCACTATCAACTGGATTGGTTTGGTCATTAAAGTGTGTCATTTGTTATAATTTTTATGTTTAAATAAAAAGTCCACTGTGTTTATAAGTGGACTTTATTTATAGTGCTTATCGTCACCATATTTGCGTTAATCAAAAGAAAAGTTTAAAAATGCTAGAATTGTTTTTTCACTGTGATAATTGATAAGATAATTGTAGTTTGTTCTGATTATGGCCTAAATAAAAAAAATAGTTCACAAACTAAAATCTGATACTGGAAAAAATAAAGCGGCCGACGGCAATATCTAAGCATATGTGCTTGTGCCACGCTCCGCGCGAATTGGTTTCCTAGATTTATAAATTGTTAAATCAGCCCCGTCCCGCATGTCGGGCAAAATATTTTTAATTACAGTATTTTTTGGCTGAGAGACGGCCTGCTTTCACATTCTTTTTTTATTTACCAACCAGGAATGACATGTTTAATGTAAAAAAGGCGTTGTTTGTATTATTATCTCCATTATTTCACTAGTTTTCGAGTTTTGAGCTTGTCAAAACATTCAACGATGTATTTACCTATATTATATATGACCCATAGCGCAGCCGCTCGTCGTTTTTACTTCCGTGGGATGATAAACACCATGATGCTTTTGTTTTATTTTCGTATGGAATCTATTTCTAAATTAATAAATATATGGATCGATCAATAGAAAAAGATACATGGGCCATGTCACGTAAGCGGATTTATCAATGGTCTGATTACTGCCGCGCCGGCCGGCGCAGGCTCGCAGGCAAACGCGTGCGTGGGCGCATATGTGAATCACAAAGTCTGCGTTGACTAATTGTGTTTATATTACTTCTGATTTACACCTCTAACCTTTATATTTAGTAACATCCTATTTACAGTTAGTCAACATCGCTTCTCAATCTTTTGTTATAATGCCGTTTTCAGAATAGGGTTGTTGTCCGCGGACATGAGAGTATTGCGAGAGAGGCCCGAGTCCGATGACTGTCGCAGTCATAGGACAATTCATAGAAAGCCTATGCTTCCCACCACCTGGGTGGGAGGCCCGGGCTGTACTCTCTATTCATACAGACGACAGGCGAAGGGGATCGCATATTAAAGCATTCTCTCCTTCTGTTAAACTGCAACCGAATACAATCGCGTGCGTGCAACTGATGTTGCAAATCTCTATGTCAACTTGGAATCCAAACAAGTAATTCTACTTTTTATGGCAATAAAAATATATAAATGATTCCACTTAACCTCGAAAACTAGTCCAAGGTAACTTGTCTAATGATATTAAATACAAATGTATCTTTCTCATTTTATATTTCAAAGCTTATTAAAAGTTCCCTTGAAATTTGCGTTTTTTCGTAGTCTCATTATGTTGTATCAATAAACAATATAATTTACTAGATCCTAGAATACAAAATTCGTTTCAGTTGCTAATATACTTGGAATAATTATATATGTATGGAATGTTTGTGGTATTGTCATTGAACTAAATGAAAATCAATAATATCTCTTTCAGTAAATGTAATAAGACTAGAGTTAAGCAGAATTACTTGATTTATTGCAGAAAAAAGTCTCGAATTTAATGTTAATTTATTTATTTGCAGTATATTTAAGGCACTGGAATTGCATAGGTGACAAATTTATTTTAAATTCTAAAATATGACAACCCAATTTCTTAAACATATGTTTTTTATTTCGTCAGTTTCCGGGAATATATGATGTATGTAAATACATACAATTATAAATTACAGTGTTTGTCATTCTGAACTCTCATAATATTTTCATAGTTACAAATAGTAATGCGCTTCATCATAGTCATTTGCCTATTAAGGCCCGCTGGGGCACACAAGGGCCTTCACTGAGGATGGAATTGAATAGGGACAATGGTCCCTGACCCACGGTGTGGATGGATGGTTTCAACTACTGTATGAAAAGTGACTTTATAGTCTAAGTCACTTTCCAATAAGACTTCTCTGTGTGAAATAAAACAGGGAGAAAATAGCAGCCATCCCTAAGTTTCTTGTCGGTTCTTCCCTGTACAAGGTCTCCCGCCGTAGTTTTGCGAACCGTTGGCGTAGTTTTCGATTTTCACAAGTGCTCTGTAACAGCCTAGACTTAATAAGCGATTTTCATTTCATTTGTTTTGATTGGCAGACGCAGTCGGTATTGACGGCTTTACTTGCCTTCCGAAGCAGGGACGATCTCGATCACACAATGGTCAGCGCGCTCGAGTTGTGACGCTGAAGAGCCAGTCCATAAGATGGGTATCAAATTATACTATTATTTTTCATTATTATTATACTTGGTAAATTTTGCATTAACAATGTCATTTTGGTATAATGATCTTAACGTTGTTACAGAAAAATACGTTGCATTAATGACTTACATATAGTGAAAGCAACAAGTAACAAGTACCTGCTCCAGAAATTCGACAGCCTCTAAAATTGCTAGAGCAAGTTAGAGGTGCGAATCCCGCTTACTGTGCTGTGCTGGAACAGTTGAATCTTTTAAGTTGTGTAGGAAAAGAGTTTTTGACTTATGATTCTTTCTTTCTTCGACAGCAATGGTAAATTATACACAGATTTTATTAAAATACATAATCTCAGTTTGATTGTCCTGCTCTACTGTCCGTTGCAGCGTGCTTTTCCGCCATTTTTCTATTAGCCCGGTAATTTTGCGGGTTCGACCATTCTCGTATGCGGCGGTATTGCAACAGGCAGCTCTTATGAGCTGACTGTCTACCCTCAATTATATTGCCAAAGTAATAATATTTTGGTTTTATACGCTTTGAAACTGAACAGAAATATTTTTTTATAAGATTAATATAAGTTTGAGATGCTATGGCCTCTAAATAATGCATATATCGTGTATGTCAATATCGGGGTGTTTCCAAATGAAGCGGCTTAGAGCAATATAATTGACATCAAAACAAACAAACGTACGGTAGTATTGTCCCAGTTAATGTTTACTGTGGTAACATCCGTCATATATACAAAGTGCCTAATTATGATTAGAATCCTTTATCCTATTATTAAATCGGATC